AATTTTTTTTTTTTTTTTGAAGCTGTGATTCATATAGTAGTTTGACAGATAACTTGTTTAGTTTTCCTTTAATGCCACAAACATGAGCTTGAAATAGTTTACTCTTGATTTTTTTAATATATTTTTAGCACAAAATTTTCACATATATTAGATATATACAAAATGTAATATAATGTCATAATGTATTTTTACTTTTTTTTTTTTTATATCCAATTTTAATATAAAAACTGTATCAATTCCATAACTTGTTTTTTCATTTTTTGAGGAAGGCGACGAGGACAACCTATGATTAAAAGGAATAATTTTCTAGTTACGTAAATGTTTGGATATTATGGAAAAAAATATATGAAGCACGATCTGTGCTAGTCAAACAATTTCAATTGTGGTGTAAAAAAAAATAAATAAATAAATAAAATCTTATAGTTGGGTCAAGGGTGCAACGGAGAACAAATTCGGGGAAACTTGAATAGTAGTGGCGTTGAAGTTGACCTCATTGAAAATCAGCACAAAATATTTACTTCCAAGCAACTTCTCAAGTCGTTCAATAACGACAGCATTTTGTTCAAATTTCTAATGTATAGTGGCTATACGCGTCAAGACGATTTTTTTACAAAAAAAAAAATAAAAATAAAAGTGGTGGACAAAAAAAAAAAAAAAAGAAAAAAAGGGTGGAAAAGAATAGAAAGCCCGTATTCCTTGAATACGGTTTTTGAATTTTTTTTTTGAAAAACGTATTCCGTGAATACGGGTTCCTTTGTAAAAAAAATGTAAAAAACGTATTTAAGGAATACGTTTTTTAATTAAATTATACAGAAAACATATTCAAGAAATACGTGCTTTCTATGTTGGTCCACTCTCCCCCTTTTTTTTTTTGTTTTTTGTCCACTTATTATTTATTTATTAATAAATATATAAATTACCCTTTAAATATTTGTAGACATGTTTTCTTTACAAAATAGTCTAGAAAAATATTTTTTAGACAATGTTAAATTCAAATGTTTTAGATATGTTTTCCTTCTAAAATTGTTTAGAAAAGTTGTAGGTGACTTCACATCTTTCAAAAATAATATAGAAAATTTTGAATACTTTTTCATATACTAATATAATATTTTAGGTGTTTTTAATATTAAACATACAAATTTTATATTCTCTTATAAAAAATAATGTAAATTTCATATTCTCTTATACAGAATAGTTTTACATAGTTTGACCCCGAATCTTTAATTTATAATTATTAAGTATTGTTTATCCTCCTCTTTAATTTATAATAATTTTTTTTTTTCTCTCTTTTTAAATAAGATCAATAGTAGTTTTCACTTCCGCCATTGAGTGACTCAAACTCGATGTTTATTTATAATATTGTTAATTTGATACTGTTCCCATGCGTTGCACGGGATACACACTAGTGTCTTAAAAAATAATGTCCCATTAACACCTCTCATATATAAAGAGAGT